ATATATATATATATATATATATATATATATATATATATACATATACATATATATAAAACAATAGAGAATCAGTTGCAAAAATGATGGCAAATCAATAGAATGTTAAACAGCCAGTAAAAACTAAATTGCAGGATATTTAATCACTTGGAAAACTGTTTAGAGTATTAACTATTTTTAAAGGTTATAAAGTAGTATGTATGGTATTAATCCATTTGTATACATAGTAATTATATTTAAGAAAGATATAGGATGGGCTAGGATGTTTTTCTTATTTGTGCTTATCTACTTCTGAATTTTCAGTAATAACTGTATTACAATTAAAATTTTTAAAAAAGGACAATTTTATGCCAATATTTTACAAAGAGTTTTTGATGATGGGAATACAGCCTTGAGTGGTGAAAAAAAGCAGACTGGCACATTGTATATCAAGTCTGACCAGGCCTGCCCATTGTAATTACTTGTTTAATTTGTTAACCACAAGCCCTGAGGGAGCAGAGATGGCATGTGTCTTGCTCACCTCTGCATCCTTAGTGCTGAGGACGGCACTCATGTAGGCAACTAGTAAAGGAGAGTGAATGAACCGGTCCATTGACCCTGGGGGGTCTGCTCCAACACTGTTCTCTAACAAAGCTCACTTGCCCCTGCTGCATTTCAGAGCCATCGAGAAGCTAAGCGGGCATCAGTTTGAGAACTACTCCTTCAAGATTTCCTACATCCCGGATGAAGAGGTGAGCTCCCCTTCGCCCCCTCAGCGAGCCCAGCGTGGGGACCACTCTTCCCGGGAGCAAGGCCATGCCCCTGGGGGCTCTTCTCAGGCCAGACAGATTGATTTCCCGCTGCGGATCCTGGTCCCCACCCAGTTTGTTGGTGCCATCATCGGAAAGGAGGGCTTGACCATAAAGAACATCACTAAGCAGACCCAGTCCCGGTACGTGCCTCCGGGGCTTCCTTTGCTTCCTTCTGAGGGGTCCCCTGAGTGCTGGTGGGTCCCGGCCATTCCCAGGTTGCTATTGCTTGCATCAGCAGCGGGGGGCTGTGCTGTATGGGACTATGGCTTCTTTAAATGGAACTACTAACAGACTAACACAAAGCCCAGGGGCTTTAATGAGCTTTCATGCCAATGACCTAAAGGTTATACCCTGAAACACTAATAGTTCATAAACAAGGTACTAATGACCTCACAGTCAAGAATTGTTCTCAGAAGCTCTCTGATACCTGTGAATACATCTACATGTTTTTAAAACAACAGAGGTACGGGGCTGAACTTTACGGGACCCTAGAACCCGCGTATCTTAGCTCTTGCTTCCTCTCCTGCGTCAGAGCCCTGGGTGGTAGTCATTCTTTGAGACCACCTAGGGAGTCTCACAAATAGCTACATAAAGGAAATGGGTGAGTCACTGTTACATTGAGCAATAAAGTACATTAGTCTTATGTTTAGTTTTCTGTCTGTTTAAGGAGACTGAATTGGTAGTAGGAGTTGTAGTGGATAAAGTGACTTGTGAGGTTGAGTTTTGTGTGTTCATAAGACCACAGCATGATGTAATGAACAAAGCACAGGTCTTGAAAACAAAGACCCTTGTTCAGGTTTTACCACTTAATAGCTATATGATCTTAGAAAAAATGTTAAGGTCTCTGAGCACCAATTGCTTCTTCTGTAAGCCAGGAGTATTGTGAGAATTAGGACAGTCAGGCAGATTGAATGAAATAATTATTGTGAAAGCACTTAAATTACAAAGCACCAAATTACTGACAAATATTTGTTATTTACATGCCTAGTGCATTTTATTCAGGATATTGAGTGTCTTGTAACCTGAAAGAGAAAACACTGTTTTCTGCAAAGTGACTGAGTTACTTCCAAATAATGGACACTTATATGAGTCCCAGAGTTTAAAATCATAGGGGTGAAATGATGAGATAGTACAGGGGGCAAGTACTATGTGATGTTTCCTTTATTTTAAAATCAGTCCCCTTTTTTCCCCTCTAAGTTTTATTCACTGAGAAAGTGATTTTTATTTGTATGTCTTTTTGTTCCAAAGATTATTTAAAGTGGCTTTAAAAATGCAGCAAGGTTAGGGACTTCCCTGGCGGTCCAGTGGTTAAGACTCCACGCTTCCATTGCAGGGGGCGCTGGGTTCAATCCCTGGTAGGGGAACTAAGATCCTGCATGCTGCACAGTGTGTCCAAAATATAAAATAAAGTAACTAAAAAAAAATCATTTAAAAAAATGCAGCAAGTTTAAATACAAGTGAGTTAGTTCTCAAAGTGTGTGCCCATTTTTTTAGAAACAGGCCAGAGACTTGGATTTGGGCTTTCTGACAGCCAGAGTAAAAAAGGGTACAATCAATTATGTGATTTGAAAGTCAAAAACAAATAGAGCCACAACTACCCAAAGAAGTCTGATAAAGTCATCAAGCTTTTGAGCCATTAGTTTTTGTTTTTGTTTTTTGTTTTTTCTGTACGCGGGCCTCTCACTGGTGTGGCCTCTCCCGTTGCGGGGCACAGGCTCCGGACGTGCAGGCTCAGCAGCCATGGCTCACGGGCCCAGCCGCTCCGCGGCATGTGGGATCTTCCCCGACCGGGGCACGACCCCGCGTCCCCTGCATCGGCGGGCGGACTCTCAACCACTGCGCCACCAGGGAAGCCCTGAGCCATTCGTTTTTAAGAGCCTGGAAGAAGGCAGGCTGCCGGTGGCAAGGAAACCAAAAACTTAGGCAGAGAAAGGGCATGCCTCTGTTTTCTGTCCATACTCAGATACATAAAGCTTGCTTGAATTTGTTGTTTAGAGTTGGATTAACATACGGCTTTTAAAAGCTGCAGTCAGTTCAGAGACCGGCACTGTGCCAACGTGCAGTATTATCCTGCTCACTTTACTCTTCGCTTCTAAGATCATTGGAAAGACTACACAAAATACTTCATTTACCAAACTGGCTTCATTACCACGTTGCCTTGGTGTCTTTGCCCAGTGGCACTCCTGTAAGAAATATTCCCTTCTCAGTGGAGCTGCCGAGAATTTGGGTTTGACACAAGACCCCCTGCACTGCTTGCCGCCTTCTTGGAGAATGGCATTGGTTGCAAACATGCTCATGACACTTCCTGGTCTGTCTGTGTCCTTGCTGTACATTGGCCGGTGCGACGCATTCTTGGGACTAGGATCCAGTCCCAGATGACGCTGTGCTATGGCTCCTGATTCTTTTCCTGCAGGGTAGACATCCACAGAAAGGAGAACTCGGGGGCTGCAGAGAAGCCTGTCACCATCCATGCCACCCCAGAGGGAACCTCTGAAGCATGCCGCATGATTCTCGAAATCATGCAAAAAGAGGCTGATGAGACCAAACTGTAAGTTTGCATGCAATGCACAGACCACTCAGAAGAAAAAAGGATTAGGTTCTCATTCATTTAACCCAGGAAAGTTTTAAAAAGCTGTAAATCTATTTCTCTGTAAAGAGAACAGGGAAAAGATTATTTTTCAGAAATTAGTTCCTAAAGAGAATATGGTGGGAAATAGATCTTTTATGTTGATAACATGGCTGCTTCTCTACTTGTATGTTTTCTCTTGGTGATCCTAATGCTTCTTCCATCACTCACTGGTAATAATTATTGGTAGGAACATAAAGAGCCGTGCTGTCCAGGGCCATGCAGTGATGGAAATGTTCTGTATCTGCACTGTTCAATACGATAGCCACTAGCCATGTGTTCCTGTTGAGTGCTTGAAATGTGACTAGTACAATGGAGGAACTGAATATTTTATTTTAATCCATTCAGACTTAAATAATCGCGTGTACGGCTAATGGCTATCATATTGGACTGGGCAGATATAGAAAATACGTTGTTGTCAAAACCATCATTTACTATGCTGGAAAAGGGTTTTGTCACCGTGCTCCTAAGCCACTTGCACTCTTAAAATTGGATTATGTTTCCTTAAATAGTAGAAACTGGTATCTGAGTGGCTACTTCATTCTTCTTTGTTTTTCTCTCTCCCCCCGTCCATTTCTTTTACAAAATATTTCTTAGGATTCCTGAGTGTTGTACCAGTTTGAATGACAAATACAGTTCTTAGTAACTTGTATAATTTAGTAATACAAATTTATTAATTTGTCTTATAAACAAATTAATGGTAACGGAATAAGCAGTATAATAAAAAAGGCTCTATGTTTGTTTGGCAAAATCCGCTTACAGGCATATGTGGCAGTTTTAATAAAGAAGCAGTGAGGGGGCTTCCCTGGTGGCGCAGTTGTTGAGAGTCCGCCTGCCGATGCAGGGGACACGGGTTCGTGCCCTGGTCCGGGAAGATCCCACATGCCGCGGAGCGGCTGGGCCCGTGAGCCATGGCCACTGAGCCTGCGCGTGCGGAGCCTGTGCTCCGCAACGGGAGAGACCACAAGAGTGACAGGCCCGCATACCGCAAAAAAAAAAGAAGAAGAAGCAGTGAAGGATGAATTGAATATAAAACTGATTTAGCAAACAATGTCAAATAATAGTGTTCCAAAACCAAGAAGATGAAAGTAGTTCCTAAAAGAAAAACATTGCATATCTATTCTTAGATTTCATAAGGGACTCTAACCTTTAACTTAACTAATTATTTACTATTTGGGGCTTTTGAAACCCCCCACATGCTGTGGCTTAATTTGAAGAAGCCCCTCCCTCATCTAAGTTATTGAGAATTTGATAAATGTTACCCTCCTTGGTCCTTTGAGCTAGGTGTAAGCATCTTACAATATTCTGAAGAACCAAAAAGACTGATGTATAAATTGGATTCTTAAAGTATTCGTGTAGAGCCAAGATAGAATTTGACTGTCTTTGAAATACTTCTTTTTTGAGTGCGGCACTTTGCTGAGCACTGTGCTGGGTTGAGGCTACAGCCCTGAACAAGATCCAGTTCCTTTTTTTATCCAGTGGGAGAGACATCTGCTAAACAAATAATTACACCAGTAAGTAATTAAGCACAGCTATGAGAGGTGCTACAGTGGAAAACAACTGCAGGTAACTGGAGGCCCTAATCAAGGTTTTAGGGGGACAAGAAGAGATTTGAGGATTTCAGAGAAGGCCTCCCTGTGTAAGTGACATTTAAGCTGAGCCGTGAGGAAGATGAGTAGTAGGTGGAGGATGGAGGAGAAGAGGGATTCTAAACTTTCTTTCTATTCATTTACCAAATATTTATTGAGTACATAGTGTCTGTCAGGCACTGTTCTATGTGCCAGTGGACAAAGCTGACCAAAAAACCCTGCCCTCTGTAAGTCACATTCTAGTGGAGCTTCTGCAAACATCCATGTATTTTGAGGCAGTAGTAATGCATCTGTTCAATGCTTTTGGTCTCAAGTAACAGAAAACATAACAAGTGGCTTGAGCAATAAGAAACAATTATGATGTCACATAGTTAGAAGTCCTTATTATGTGAGAGTGACTGAAAGGTCAGTTGAATCATAGACTGAAATGCCCATGACTTGTCTTTCTGCTTTACCTTCTTCAGGGTGTCTGATACTCCCCTGATGATGACAAGATGACTGAAGTGATTTCAGACCTTGGATCCCCACAGAAAACTATTTAAAAGTTGAAAGAGAAGGCATCCTCTCCTTGTCCCGCCCCCCACCTTTTTTTTTGAACTTTTTTTATTGTTAAAAAAAAAAAAAAAACACCTATCATAAAATTTATCGTCTTAACCATTTTTAAGGGTACAGTTCAGTAGTGTTAAGTGTATTCACATTATTGTGAAACAGATCTCCAGAACGTTTTCATCTTACAAAACTGAAACTCTGTGCCTGTTAAGCAACAACTCCCCTTTTCCCTCTCCCTCCAGCCTCTGGTAGCTACCATTCTATTTTCTGGTTCTGCGAATTTGACTATTTTAGAGAACTCAGATAAGTGAAATCATACAGCGTTTGTCTTTTTGTGACTGGCTTATTTCACTTAACTTAATGACCTCAAAATGAATTCATGTTGTAGGATTTCCTTCTTTTTTAAGGTTGAATAATATTCCATCATGTGTGTATACCACATTTTGTTTATTCATTTATCCATTGATGGAGATTTGGGTTGCTTCTACCTCTTGGCTATATGAATAGTGCTGTTTTGAAATATCTCTTTGAGACCCTGCTTTCAATTCTTTTGGATATATACCAAGAAGTGAGATTGCTGGATCATACAGTAGTTCTATTTCCAATTTTTTGAGGAACCTGTTTTCCATAGCAGTTGCACCATTTTACATTCCCACCAGCCTTTCACAAGAGTTCAGATTTCTCCACATCCTTATCAGATATATGATTTGCAGATACTTACTTCCATTTCATAGGTTGTCTTTTCATTTTGTTGAGTGTGTCCTTTGATGCACAAAAGTTTTTAGGTTTGGTGTAGTCCCATTTGTTAATTTTGCTTTTGTCAACTGTGCTTTGGTGTTATATCCAAAAAACAGTAGCCAAGTTCACTATCGTGAAGCTTTGCTCCTTTGTTTTCTTCTAGGAAAATTGTACTTTCAGGTTTTACATTTAGGTCTTTAATCTCTTTTGAGTTAATTTTTGTATATGAAATAAGGGTCCAGCTGCATTCTTTTTTTGCTGTACGTGGGCCTCTCACTGTTGTGGCCTCTCCCATTGCGGAGCACAGGCTCCGGACGCGCAGGCTCAGCGGCCGTGGCTCACGGGCCTAGCCGCTCCACGGAATGTGGGATCTTCTCAGACTGGGGCACGAACCCGTGTCCCCTGCATCAGCAGGCGGACTCTCAACCACTGCGCCGCCAGGGAAGCCCCCAGCTGCATTCTTTCGCAAGTTTTCCTAAGATAATTTTCGAAGACACTCCTTTTCCCATGATGTAGCCTTGGCACCTTTGTCGAAGATCATTTGACCATATATGCAAGGATTTATTTCTGGAATCTCTATTCTTTCCTCTTGGTTTATTTTTCTGTCTTGACACCAGTACCATACTGTTTTGATTACCATAGCTATACAATATGTTTTGAAATCAGGAAATGTGAGTTCTTTTTCAAACTTGTTTTGATTATTCAGGGTCCCTTGAGATTCCATATGAATTTTTTTTAATAAATTTATTTACTTTATTTATTTTTGGCTGCATTGGGTCTTCGTTGCTGTGTGTGGGCTTTCTCTAGTTGCGGTGAGCGGGGGCTACTCTTCGTCGCGGTGCGTGGGCTTCTCATTGCAGTGGCTTCTCTTGTTACAGAGCACAGGCTCTAGGCACGCGGGCTTCACTAGTTGTGGCACATGGGCTCAGTAGTTGTGGTACACGGGCTTAGTCGCTCCATGGCATGTGGGATCTTCCCAGACCAGGCCTCAAACCTGTGTCCCTTGCATTGTCAGGCGGATTCTTAACCACTGCACCACCAGGGAAGCCCGATAGTTTTTTTCTTTCAGTGCTCTGAATATGTCATCCCATTCATTTCTGGCCTGCAAAATTTCTGCTGAGAAATCCATCCATAATCTTATGGAGACTTCCTCATATGTTACTAATCACTTTTCTTTTGCTGCTTTCAAGATTTTCTCTTTGACTTTAGACACTTGGGTTATAATGTATCTCAATGGAATTCTCTTTTGGTTTATCCCAGTTGGATGTTCTTGGAGCTTCTTGAATCAGTATGTCCATTTGTTTTCTCAGATTTAGAAAGTTTTCTGCCTGTTTTCTTTGAATAAGCTCTCTACACCATCTCTCTCTTCTCCTTCTGGGATTCCAATGACATGTATTTTGATCCACTTGATAATGTTCCATGAGTCCCTTAGCCTTTCTCCCCTTTTTTTTTTTTTTTTTTTTTTTGCTGCGTTGGGTATTCTTTGCAGCGTGCGGGCTTTCTCTAGTTGCAGTGAGCAGGGGCTATTCTTCGTTGCGGTGCATGGGCCTCTCTTGTTGTGGAGCACGGGCTCTAGCTGTACGGGCTTCAGTAGTTGTGGTGCGCAGGCTCTAGGGCGCACAGGCTTCAGTAGTTGTGGCACATAGGCACTAGAGCGCAGGCTCAGTAGTTGTGGTGCACAGGCTTAGTTGCTCCGCAGCATGTGGGATCTTCCCGGACCAGGGATCGAACCTGTGTCCCTTGCATTGGTAGGCAGATTCTTAACCACTGTGCCACCAGGGAAGTCCCTTTCTCCACTTTTTAAAAATTCTCTTTTCTTTTTTCTCCTCTCATTTGATGATTTCCCATGACTGATCTTCAAGTTTGCTGATTCTGTCTTCTGCCTGATCATGTGTGCTGTTGAACCCTTTGAATGAATATTTCAGTTCAGTTATTGTATTTTTCAGTTCTGTTATTTCTGTTAGGTTGTTTTTTAATAGTTTCTTTTTCTTTGTTGATATCCTCACTTCATTCATGCATCATCTTCCTGATTTCATTTAGTTGTCTGTGTTCTCTTTTAGGTTATTGAGTATCTTTTTGATCACTATTTTAAAGTCTTTGTCGGGTAGCTCATAGATCTGCATTTCTTTAGGGTCAGTTTCTGGAGTTTTATTTTGATCCTTTGATTAGGCCATGTTTCCATTTCTTTATATGCCTTATAATTTTTTGCTGTGATCTGAGCATTTGAAAAAAAACACTTCTCATAGTCTTTGCATACTGGCTTTGTTCAGGAGAAGATCATCACTAATCAGTCTGGCTGGAGGTTCTAGGACCTCTCAAACCATTTCTGATCGCTTTCACCCTCTGGCTTCTGACTATGGAACTGCAGCTCTAACAGTTCACCTCTGTTTTCAGCAGCTTCCAGACTCTGGCACCAGGCTTGTCAGCTCTAAGTCAGGCGAGACAGAAACCAATCACTCGGGCAGCTCCCAGGCAAGGCAGAACGTGGGAATCGTGGTCTAGTCTTTTGTTTCTGTCCCAGGGGAGGATCCCTGGTATGGAGGATTTCCTCCCAGTTTCCTCTTGCTATACTGTGTAGGGGAAGGAGCATGAGAGGCATGCCAAATGCCACAAAATTTCCTGCCCCTTTTACTTGAATCCCTTTTTGGTTTTATAAAAGCCTGAGTGCTGTAGCTTCTCACCTGATCTCTAGAGTTCTCAGAGAGATAGTCGAGCCTATCTTTTGTTGTCAACTTGGTGTCTCAGTGGGAGTAGGAGGGCCTGTAGCTTCCTAGTCTACCATCTGACTGATGTCATTATCCGTTGTGCCTTTTGTAAGAGCAAGGAAAACCTTCCTGAAATCACCCAACAGACTTATTCTCATACCTAGTTGGCCAGATCTCTCTCATGGACCCATTTCCAACCAGTCACAACAAGGGAGTATAATTACCATGATTTGGCGTGTGTTAATCAGAATTCACGCTCCAGAGTTAGTGAAGGACCCAGCATCTCATAAAGCCCATGGCCACTTGGTACCTGAACAAAAATGGCTTCTGTTTGTAAGAAAAAAGGAGGGTAATAGCTCTTGGGAGGCAACCGTTGTGTTCACCTTAAATGTTAAAATGTGGCTTGTGTCTTTTAGAGCTGAAGAGATTCCTCTGAAGATCTTGGCCCACAATGGCTTGGTTGGAAGACTGATTGGAAAAGAAGGCAGAAATTTGAAGAAAATTGAACACGAGACAGGGACCAAGATAACAATCTCATCGTAAGCCTCTTGTTCAGATTAATTGTGCCCAATAATGGAGAATTTGAGCATTTTGATATATCCAACTCATTCATCTTCTTTAAAGTGGGAATGTAATCATAAGTGATATGATTATATTCAACACCATCAAAACAAATACATAAATAGTTACCAAACATTTTCTACTATGGATTTGATCTAAGTCACTACAAAGATTTGAGATACCATGGCAGATATTCTGTGCCACAGCGTGTGGTGTCTTCTCCCTGTCTCCTCCGCCAAGACTTGTTTGTGATCCTTCTGGGATTTTATTTTTCCTTTTGAAAAAAGGAAATTTCTCTCTTTTTCCTGGTGGCCAGCTTGCAGGATTTGAGCATATACAACCCTGAAAGAACCATCACTGTGAAGGGCACAGTTGAGGCCTGTGCCAGTGCTGAAATAGAGATTATGAAGAAGCTGCGTGAGGCCTTTGAAAATGATATGCTGGCTGTTAATGTAAGTGCCTACTGCTTTCTTCTCCACTGGTTTTCACATGTATTTTCAGGCAGGACCCAAGCCTCTCTAAGCATAATTGCCATTCAGAAAGTGAAGAAGCACTTTAGAATAGGTATATGCAGAGTTATTCATGTCTTCTTGGGGCAAAGGGCATTAGAATAATCAGGAAATGATGATAAGTGCACTGGACAAAATAGTGTGAAGTCAGCAAAATCACAACTTGGAAGATTTTAAAATGAGGAATTGCTTATGATGTATTGTTAATTAAGAAAAAGAACATATAAAAGTATATATAACTAGGGTTATAATTATGTAAAATAATATGGGTCAAAATGCCTGGAAGGCTATATATAAAAATCAAAATAGCTGGTATGTTAGAAAAGTGGGATTTTTTTCCCCTATTTTCCAATTTTAAAAATACATACTTTAAAAATAACTTCTGATTTTCATCTCTCACTGATCTGTTCTTTTCTTTTTTTTAATTAATTTATTCGTTTTTAAATTTTATTTATTTTTGGCTGCATTGGGTCTTCGTTGCTGCGTGCGGGCTTTCTCTAGTTGTGACGAGCGGGGGCTGCTCTTCGTTGTGGTGCGTGGGCTTCTCATTGTGGCGGCTTCTCTTGTTGTGGAGCACAGGCTCTAGGCACGCAGGCTTTAGTAGTTGTGGCACATGGGCTCAGTAGTTGCGGCACGCAGGCCCTAGGGTGCACGGGCTTCCGTAGTTGCGGCACGCGGGCTCAGTAGTTGTGGCTCACAGGCTGTAGAGCGTGGGCTCATTAGTTGTGGTACACGGGCTTAGTTACTCCATGGCATGTGGGATCTTCCCGGACCAGGGATCAAAGCCATGTCCCCTGCATTGGCAGGCGGATTCTTAACCACTGCGCCACCAAGGAAGTCCCTGATGTACTGCCCAGTAAATGTTGTCATCCACCTCAGCTCTAATACTTCTAGCAGACTGATTTGGGTTTGTTTTTCCTGTTATTACTACTAGTTCCAACTTTTTAATGGGGAGACATCCTTCTAAAGTTCATTCAGAAATCTTAAAAATATTTGTCCATCAATCAAAGCACAAACTCAACTCAGAGGGGTAAATTTTTTCATTTTTTATGATAATGATTTTTTTAACATATACAAAACAGGAAAGGATACTATGATAAGCTCTCATATGCCCATAATCCAACTTCAACAGTTATCAACTCATGGCCTGTTTTGTTTCATCTGAACCTTTATCCATATCCCCATCGACCTTGGATGACTTTGAAGAAAATCCCAGACTTTGTATATAACATTTCACAGAAAAACAAATGTTGGCGAAGGACTAGGTAGGTTAAGCGCAGCCCCAGTTTCCTCACTGCAGCACTTTCCACAGGACCTTCTTACTCAGGTCAGTACTCTCTCTCCCACCTCACCCCAAATTCCCCCTTAGTAGCCCTTGTCACATCATAATTACAAGGCACAACGAGGAGAAGACTTCAATGTGAACTTCTCCCCTGTTTGTGTGTATTTGTCTGTGAAAGTATCATCCACTGATCTCATTTTCTTCTTTGGGGATCTTGATATCTTATGATAAACAGCTCTTACCGTGAACACCTGGAAATGCTGCAAAAGGTCTGGGTGCTCCAAACATCTTTCCCTGAGCATATATATCACTTAGGTTCATTCATGTCTGTGCTAAAGTCATGCATTGGTAGGTGAATAACAAAACTACTAGATCTTATACATGAATGGGATCAAGGTTAAGGATCCTAGCTCTCCTATTCCAGACATTCTAAAAGAAGACAACTTACTGGGTGACCCTAGAGCCACAGATAAGAAAAGAGAAAATGTTAGAGATTTGCTTAGCGTTCAGGGGGCAGTGGTGGGACAGGTTGGATACAGGCCAGGGTGGGCGCTGCATCATTCCTCTGCCTCTGAAGGGGCAGCCTACGTGAGCATCCCCATGTTTAAATGTGAAATTAGCAAGTGAGATGATCATGAAGCTGGCAACTAAATGGTAAAGAAGCCAAGGTTGTGAACCATTCTGAATATGGATAATGGAGTTTACATAAGTGGTATCTTAGTGAAGGGTCTGATCTTTCCCTGGATAGAGTTAGGAAAAACTATTAATCTAATATGTTTTAAACATATTCATTCAGCAAATATTTATTGAGTACTTACTATGTACCAGGCACTGAGCTCACAGCACTAAATAGGACAGTCTCTATCTATAAGGAAATTGTGGTCTAAAAAGGGGAGAGGCAGCTACACAGGCCATTCAGATACCATGTGATGCCTACTGTTGTAAGGAAACGTGGGCATGTTAGGAGAGCACCTTGAGCTGAGGCCTTTGGGGTGAGAGAAGGCTTCGTTGAAGAGGGGACACCTAAGGTCAGGTGAAACCCACATGACGAGTAGGATGTAGCCAGGTGAGGAGGGAGAGAAGCACATTTCTTGCAAGGTAGACAGTGTGGGGGGGGGTCCAGAGGAGAGAGAGGAGGACGACTGGGCAGAGTAGAGAAAAAGGGTTAGCAGGAGAGATGCTGGTGAGGTGGCCTGGGTCCCCAGGAAGAGCCTTGCTTGCTGTGTTAAGATGTGTAGACACTCTCAAGGCAGCAGAGAACCTTTAAAGGGAAGCCACAGTCAGGTTGAGGTTTGGAGAGCTCACCCCTGCAACAGGGTGAGGAAGAGGTCCACGGGGCCTGGGCGGAGCTGATTGATTAGGAGACCCTGGTGCCATCCAGACAAGAGATGGAGGTTGACCCAGGCAAGCTGGACCTCTCAGGTCTCCTCCCCTCAACTTTTTCTCCATTTTTATTCCCAGCAACAAGCCAATCTGATCCCGGGGTTGAACCTCAGCGCACTTGGCATCTTTTCAACAGGACTGTCCATGCTGCCTCCGCCAGCAGGGCCCCGAGGAGCTCCCCCCGGTCCCCCCTACCACCCTTTCACTGTAAGTAGCTCAGCTCTCAGGGGTTTGCTCATATGCTCCTCCAGGCAGCAGCATTTCTCTGCCATGTTGAATCAAGGGCCAGAGCCTTCATTTGGAGGCTGTGCTCATAAGGGATTGTAGAATGAATTCAGCAGTTCTTAGGACTTCTTCCTCATGGACAGATTAATGTTACTAAACCGTCTTCTAAGAAGTATGTGCTCTTAAACATAGAGTGTATGTCATATCTGGGAAAGAAAGAGACTACTAGCAAATTCATTAGCTAGAAGCCTACTCATTGTAAAAAAGGATTTGTTAGCTCAAATCAGAACCTTCATGAGTGTTGTTCACCTACTAAAATATTAGGGTACCTGGATGACTCATGTATAAAATTCCCACCTGTGTCTATGACTCAAATTCATTATATTCTATTAATAGGCAGTTTTTAAAAGAAAATAACACAGTGTCTAGATTTCTAAACACTTAGCACAGTGCCTGGCATTTAGTAGATTCTCAGTAAGTATTTATTGTTTGAATCATAATTAATAGTGGCAGAAGAAATTTGAACTTTATGCGTTTTCTGCTTGTTCCTATTCTCAAGCATCATTCAGGATCAGCAAATTACCAAATTAGGGCTCAGGATACTTGACAGCTTTTTTTTTTTTTTTCATTCCTAATTCTTCTCCACACATACTACTTATTTTTTAAGCAAACTAATTTTCTCTCAATGTTTATACTGTTTAAATGGGAAGAATCAGGTTGGAGAACATTAGCTTAACCACTTCTTTCTTTTGAGAGGCAGTCTCTGGTGTAGTAGGCATTGCGGTGTCGGAATTCCTAGTAACTCTTTGGGTCTCTGTAGAGAGGTAGGATGAACCCACTGTGCTGTTTTGTCAACAAAATACAGACATGAACATGCACCCACGTCCTTAGTCACAAAAACATACACATTCTGTCATCTTGTTTATATACAGCTCTTCTGAGTCATTTTTAAATCTCCATACCATAGAGTTATATACATTTTCCCTTAAACTGAAGGATAGGGTCCAATATTGAGCTCTGTGTGTGTGTATGTGTGTGTGTGTGTGTGTGTGTGTTAGAGGGAGCTGGGAATATGGCAGGAGGGAAATGGCAGCTGTTATAGTCATGTAGCTGCTCTAAGGAGGGAGAACAGCTATGAGAGGTGCATGTCCCCGTATCTTTGCTGAGATTTGAGAATGACCAAGCCCAGTACAATGAACTGGCATTTAGACACATCTCGTTTCTTGGGAGAAAGACTGCACATACTGCTCCACAGAAGATAACTTCAAAAGCCTCTCAACCTAAGTAACGTAAATGGTGGGAGAAAAAAGATATAATACAATAGACCACTTCTAAAATTGATAATCTAAAAGAGAGGTCAGCAAACGACAGCCTGAGGCAGCCCACCACTTATTTTTGTAAGTAAATACATCTGTGAATGTTTATTTACGTACTGTCTGTTTGCTTTCCTGCTGTGATGGCAGAGTTGAGTAGATGCAGTAGAGACCCTGAGGTATGCAAAGCCTAAAATATTTATTTGGCTCTTTACAGAAAATTTTGCAGACACCTGAACTAAAACAAAAAGAGAACTTTTCATATGATAGCAGAATATTTTCTAAACTTGAAAATAGGTTTTGCCATTTTGAAAGCTTCCTTCACATCTGAGATTTTTTACTAAAACAGTAGAATAATGATTTTACTAAAATAGTTTCTGTTCTTTATAAAATAGATTTTAAATAAAATTTCTTCTTTAAGCTAAAAGCCATGTAGTTCTGATCTTGAGCCCATAGGTCAAGATTAGATTCTAATCCAGAGCACACAGCTGCCCCAAATCTGCAACAATACAGCTCCTGCAGACCTCTCTCTCTGACAGCTGCAGAACTCAGGGCAGGCATGGAGGTGGCCATCGCCACCCACCTGTGCGGAATCTAGAACCTGTACTGCAGGATTGAGGGCTTCCCTAGTGGGCCCAGGCCTCCTGAGAAGGACAGGGTAGGATGGGGTGGTGGGGATACTTCAAATACTTATAAAATATTATTGCTTTCTTGTCACAAAGGCATTCAAATTTCAAGGAACTAGGTTATTTCCTGGTTGCTTTTGTGCATCACAAAACTCTAGCGCTTTTGCTCTTAGCATCCAAAGGTCAGGAAGTCTGTGCACCTCTTTGCAGCTGGCTCACACATGCACAAATTGGTCTCTCAACTCTGGAAGCTTTTAATGTATGTGTGTATGTATGAAAACTACCATTATCATTTTCTGGTTATAAAAGTAATATGTGCACAGTATTTAAGAAGCAAATAATACAAGTGCAAGTTTTTTCTTAATCTAGAAATAATCAGTGTTTCTATGTATATGTGTGGGTATATATACAATTTATATATACATGTATAATGTATTAAATATATAGGTGATGTGTGTGTATGTGTGTATTCCAAATTTTCACTCTACAATGGAAATCCTTGTATATATATCTTGGTTCTTTCATCCAGCTATTTTCTCAATAAATTCCTGGAAATAGAATTGCGGAGCCAAAGAATGTATAAATTTTATATATAACTATAAAAAATATAAATATTGATAAATGATAAATTTTGATACATAAAGAATGTACTACTTTTCCTTCCTATCTGGTATGTGACAGAGAGGTGTTTTTTTCCTCCTATACTCACTACCAATGTAATTATTCCTTGCAATCTGATACTTTAAAGGGTGCTATTATGAGATTTAACACTTTGGGGCTTATTGGCCATTTTTTTCCCTCTCTAATGAATTGTCTTTTTGTATCCCATGCCCATCAGTCTATTAAGAGGCAGTATAGATTCTGGAGTCAGGCTGCCTGTATTTGAATCTCTGCACTATATCACTTTTTATTTTTAACAAACTTGGGCAAGTGACTTAACCTCTTTGTGTCTCCATGTCCCTGTCTATGAGATGGGGGTAATAATAGTACACATATCATGGGGTTGTTAAATAAGTAAAAACCTGCACACAGTAATTGCTATGTAAATCTTAGCTGCTATTGCCATTTACCGCCATCTTTTTCTTAATGATTTGTAACAGCTAATTACATATTAAAGCTGTTAACCATTTGTCATGTTGTAAATATCTTCCACCAGCTTGTCATTTCTCTTTGCTTTATTTGTGGTGTCTTGTGCCATAGTAAATTCTTTTTTGGGCTTCTTTAATTTTTTTACCTTTTTTTTCTTTTCTCTTTTTTAAATTAATTTTTATTAGAGTACAGTTGCTTTACAGTGTTATGTGAGTTTCTGCTATGCAGCAAAGTGAATCAGTTATACATATACATATATCCACTCTTTTTTAGATTTCCTTCCCGTTTAGGTCACCACAGAGCATTGAGTAGAGTTCCCTGTGCTATACACTAGTTGTTCATTAGTTATCTATTTTATGCATAGTAGTGTTTATATGTCAGTCCCAATCTCCCTATTCCTCCCACTTCCCCTTCCCCCCTTGTTAACCATAAGTTTGTTCTCTACATCTGTGACTCTATTTCTGCTTCACAAATAAGTTCACCTGTACCATTTTTTTATATTCCACATATAAGCGATAATTTGATTTTCTCTTCCTGACTTACTTCACTCTGTATGACAGTCTCTAGGTCCATCCACATCTCTGCAAATTGTGCCATAGTAATTTAAAATAGATATTTTTTGAACAATCGAACTATGCTGTGTGAAGTAAATAGTAAACGTTTCCCTTCAGTCTTCCTTCTCTTACCCAAATTTCACCCAGCAACCACTCCCCAGAAGTATAACACTATTATGTTTTAAAATATGTTTTATGAGGATATATAATCCTATAATCATATTATTCCAAACAAATGGAATCATGCCACACACAATGAATTACTGTGTTTTTTATTTGTTTGTTTCCATTTTTTACTTACTATGGGCATTCTTTCCATATTTAGAACTAATTCTCTTTGATGGCTACATAGTATTCCATTGTATGAAATTTACTATAGTTTTTCTACTGAGCATACTATTTTTCTACATTTGGGTTATCTCTAGGCTTTCTCTGCTACAAATAGTGTCAAAATGAATATCCTTACACATAAATGTGTGAGTATATCTAAAAGTAAATTCTAAGACTGCAATTATTGCATCAAAGGGGAATGTATTTTAAATTTTCACATTTCCCTTCAGCAGAATTTATGCAGAAATTTTAAGAATTGAGATAGTTAAATCAGTGATGTTTTCCTTTATGGACTTCTGGCCTTTGATGTTATGCTAAGAAAAAGCCTTCTGCCATCTAAGACTATAAAATATTCTCCCAAGTTTTCTTACAGTAATTTTGAGTTGTTGCTTTTGAGGGATCATAGTTTATTATTCACAGGGAATTTATCTTAACTTGTACTTTGAGATAGGGATCTAACGTTACTTTTTTCCAAATAGATAGCCAGTTTTCCGAAAGTCACTTACTGAGAAATGCACCATTTCATCACTCAATTTGAAATGGCAGCTTTGTTGTTCGCTTAATTCCCACTGAGTCATATTCCTGGGCTCTATTCTGTTCCATTCATCTTTTTGTCTACACTGCAGTTACTATAGTTTTATAGCATCTTTGACAGTTTCAACAATCTTTTTTTTCCTCCAAGGTTGAATTGGAAAGATGGTCAATTTATACTATACTTGGGAAAATTAATATGTAGGAATTTTCTGTTCCTTGAAGATTTGATACAATCCATCCATAAAAATTCTGGGCCTAGTACCTTTTGTTTGGAGAAAGATCAATCATTTATAACCTTTTCAATTTCTTATATTTTCCTATGAAAGTATTCATCTCTTAGTGGCACAAAGCTGTGCAAAGCACTGTTGCCTTTTAAAGCTGCGAACTTGTGAATATCTCTCTCTTTTAATTCCTAACATCATATATTTCCGTTCTCTTCTTTTTCTTAATCAAATTTACTAGGGGTTTTTCTTTTAATTTTTAAGTAGTTAAGGGTTTCTTTTTTGTTATCCTATAGTTGTTTCCTGTACATTTTG